TGATTATTACAGCAGAAAAATTTATCAACACGCTTATCATAAAAATTGGTATATTTCATACAATGAAAATATCTTCACGTTATTCCCAACAATTCATGACAATCGAGGTCGTGAGATCCACTTACTTGGAGCCTTGGTCAAAATGTCGAACAAAGATATTGGCAAAGAATGGGTATAAATAATCGAGTCTCCCTTTTATCGGTAGTTTTTCTACCTAAGGATATTTGCCGTGTCGTCTTTACAGGATGTACGCAATTTAGGGCAGTTCCGTGTATCTTTTGGAAGTTTAAAGTTTCCGAGGTGTTGTTCCCTTTTCCCTACCTACCATGTAGACCCCGTTTTCATGTTAATTCAATTCCTTTGACGTCGTCGGCAGCATCTCCGCGTCCTCGGTCGTTGATCCAAGGCTGCCCTGGTTTTCGGGTCCTTCCGTAAACACGTCAGCGCGTAAACAAGGAGGTGGTTTCTCCAAAGTGGCGTGAATCACGGAGTTCTTTGTGTCCCCGCGGGTCCAGGCTTTTCTCTGGAGGGTGTCTTTAGTGGGCGACCTGGTGTTTCCTTATTCAAAGCGTTTGCCCCCGAAGGTGGTGACCCTTTAAAGGAGAGGCTTCTCTTCCGACGTCCTCGAGGCGCTCGATCGAACGACTTGCTTCACTACGTGTCAATTCATGTTCCTCCGAAAAGGAAAAAAAAAGAAGAAAAAAAATTATGGAATTCGATGCACCAGAATTTTGATATTTTTCATGCTTGACTAGAGGTGCTTGATCGCGCTTGATCATGCATGTGAAATAAATGATTCCCTGAATTTAATGGATATCAAAGTATGTATTAATAACAAATTACGACAAATGTTGTCTTGGACCGCACGCAAAGGGGAGAGTTTTACGAATTGCAGCTGAAATAAATTGCTAGGGTGATGGAAGTTTTTGGGACCGTTTAAAAAAATACCCCGTCCCTTTTTCTGCGTAAAGATGTTTTTGGCAGGAAACTCTCCGCCTTTTCCCAGGTCATAGAACGTAGGACTCTGCCTCTGTATTAAAGAAAGAAATTCTTTCCCGTGTGTTCGAAAATATTCCCGACTTAATTCGATACGAGGTGCGATCATATGATTATTACTATATAATTACTATATAACATATCTGATGTAGCTACGTATGCAACCTTTAGAGTAAAGAGACGCAGTGCTCGGCTGAGGGTCGTGAACTTGTTTGAGACGCAATCGCGTCTCGTAATGCAGAAAATGTATACCACTTCATGCGTCTATTAACTGGGTCAGCTGATCAACCGAGGGGGGAGGCTTTGCAGGGAAGAAAATTCCGTATTGCGGGTCCTCGATTCTAGCTCGTAAAAAAAGGGGCAAAGGGAAGTAGAAGGAGCTTTCCATGAAAGATTCCCGGGATGCCGTGTGCCTGACCCAGAAACGGACCACGAACTCGGAGCCTACTCCAAGTCGATTGGAGACTCGCTGCTCGAAACCGAGAGTGCACCGAGAGGCATTAGACTCGAGGTGTCGTTCACCCGAGTACGCCACTTCTGGGAGAAATATGCGTCGGAAAATGTAGGACTGGAATCTTCTCTCGGTACGACGAACAAGTGGACCCGTAAGCTCGAATGTCGCTTCCCGATTGGACGAGCGAGGTCGATTTTCAGATCTGACGTTTCGTCTCTGGAATCGAGGGGATGCGACAGCTCCTGGGGAAGTGCATCTAGGGCACCGAGTGCAAGTGCATCCTTCGGGCACCCTGCGTCAATTTCCTAGAAAGCACAAACCCTTGTGCCTGAAATTTAAAGTGATGGAGTTACGCGTTGAAATCCACCCACATTAAACGAGGACATTTGGCCAGCCACTAAATGAACATTTTTATTTTTCACTAGCTTCTTTTTAAATTATTATTAAAAATTGTACTCGCAAACATTCGGAAAACTGAAATTGCGGTGTAGCAGCGGACAAGCGTTCGACTTGATTTGTTCAGAAAAGTTGAAGAAAATTGAAGGGACAAATCGAGAGCCGAAACTAATTATTATATCGATTGGGAGGTTTCGAACGTTCAGGGTAAATGAAATTAGTGTTGGAGTTTGGAGATTACCCGGCGCTCTTTCGTAATTATTAGTTGCAACGTGGAGTTAATCGAAACTTGCGAGAGAGCGCGCGGAACGGTTCGGAATCGCGAAGAGCTCATCTCTCGAAGAGAAGCGAGAAGTGGAAAAGTTAGCAACCGAGGATGAGTTGGGCGTTGATCATAAATTCCTAGGAGGACCTGGGGAATCGCACTAGAGGGTGGTCCTGACTCCGTCTGGGGTCGCGTTACAGGAAGACCTCTACTTTATCGGTACTGGATCTAATATCGTCGTGCTATCGCGTTCGCCGTGTACATAGGGTGAGACTTCGCTGTACACGCAGGGTACCTCGGGTCAAACGGTCCTGTATTCGCATTCCAAGGAGTCCATGGGTCTCCTTGTACCTATATACAGGGTACCCACGCTTAAATGGTCCTGGTTTTCGCACCGTCGAGATCCTACCGTATACTTACTGCATCAGGGTTAAATGGTCCTGCCCCTTATCGAGGTTGTTGTATCCAGAGGTTGCACCACGACGATTTCCTCCTGTATATGGAGTGCACCCAGGGTTAAATGAGTTCTGCCTACCCGAAGTTGCACCATGGAAAATCCTGCGAGCTTCGCGAACGTCGCAAAGATCGGTCGAGACGAAGAGATCAGGACGAACGTCATTGGCCATCGCAAAAATCGTGCATTACTTTTTTCTTGGCTGATTCTTCGTTTTTCCTATGTACCCTCTTGGACAATATCGTGACTATGAGTGCACATACGTCCCCATTGCGCCGAAACTTTACATTTTGACTTGAATATCAATGACTTGGACGAAATCCTGATTCCGTGACTACTGTTAAACGACCCTTTTTAAATGAACTATAGACAAGTGTATCTCGAAATGCACGAAATGCCTCCTTCCTAAATATACTCACTGCAAGTCTCTTCCTTCAGCATTAAGTACACCCATCCACCCTGACTGTCTCCGAGGAAGAATAATCGTAATTTCTCGCATCGGCGAGTCGAGTCTCAGCCACCCTGGCGCGATCATCGTCCTCGTAGTGAATTTTTCTTTTCGACTCCACGCAACGATGCGCTAAACAAACAAGCTGGCATATTAATGCAAATGGCCGTGGCATCGGCGTTGGTCACAGCAACCTGCGGCCGATCGGGTTTCTCGATATCGGTAGCGATAGGGATACGCGTACACGGTGCGTCGTGGGTATCGGGCGTTCCGTATGCACCGAATGCACTACATGCACCATATACACCATACGCACAGTGACTCCGTATTCACTGTATACACGGTATACCGTATATACACCGTGTCCATAGGACTCACGGGGTGTATCGTATAAACCGTACGTACTACGTGCACCGTATGCACCGTATGCACCATGTGCACCATGTGCCCCATGTGCCCCGTATAGAACGCACGCTGATCTCGCCTGGCGAGTGGGTGTTCCCTTATCCACACGGAGGAAACCCCCTTAGGATTATGGATCCTTCGGACGTTGTACCGAACGGGCTTGTTTAGTCGTAAACCTGTGCGAGCCTTGCTTGATTAACTGCTCGACTGCATAACCGAGCGAGCCGGCTGAACATTATTTACGGCTTAATGCACCGCAAAATGCGGAAGCTCGGCGGAAGATCGCCCCCAAAGAGGGAAGTCGGCGAGTCTTCCCGGAAGAGAGGCGATCGATCAGCTGGTCGATCGATCGGATTCGGTCCTTTTGGTCCGGTCCTCGAATCGGAACCGCAGACTAACGCCTTCTGCCCGGGCGTCGCGATCTCGTTACGTCGTTACGCACCGTGTAATCGCCCACGGGGGCGGCAAACCATGGAGGATGCTTTGTGACATAACCTCAAAGGCAAATGAACCGTGCGAGCGCTCGGGAGCCGCGCTCCGGGATTATTTATGACGATGATTTAATAAAAAAGACAGGTTTGCGCGCAGTTAAGCCGGGGTTGCGGAACCGATCGTAAGGTGCCTGAACTCGGGATGGTGTTCTACTTTTTCTTTGTCAGGTTATGTCAGACACTGATACGCGTAAGGCCTTTGGACTCTTTATGAACTCTTTTTTTTTTGTGGGATTATGTCAGATATTTACGTTTATACCGGCTCTCCGTTATGATTAAGTACTTGGAAGGGTGTTCCACTTTTCCTCTGTGAGGTTATGTCAGACGTTTATACGTGGAAAGGCTTCGGTGCACTTAAGTAATGACGCTTAAATTTTTCCCCGTTACCCTCGTATGGTTGCATTGGATATTTATATCTATGAAAGCTTTAGCGCGTTTGAAAATTTAAGACGTTCTGTATTTTCCTTTGCGAGGTTATATCTTATGCTTGGGTTTAAAAGGAGTTGAGGGTGTTTAGCAATTCTGGACAGCGTTTTTCCTTATCATTTTCAGGATTAAGGTGTACGTTTATATACATGTTAGGGTTTTCATGTCTTATCGCTCTTCCAGGTGTCGCAAGTCTAGAGGAAAATTGTTTGACGAATTTTACGCAACGGCGCGGAATGTCGCAATAAAATCGTCACCTGGTTTATCCTGCGACGCGTTTATCTTAAACAGGAATCGGCCAGCTGTCGTATCCGTAACGACCATAACCACTTTCGCGATAACTTTCTGCCGCAATTAGGAATTCGTCCCGGCGTCGCCGTTGCGAATCGCCCTAAGGCGCGTCGCCCGAGATTAGAATTTGCAAGAGGAGGATTTCCGGTGCATAATGGAGGTCGGTCCAGAAGTTTTCGAGGAGATGTAAAATTCGCCCAAGCGACGAATTGCATCGCCAGACCCGGGGAACTGTGTGGGTGGACGTTTAAAGTTTCCTTCGGGATCCGATTCCTCGCTCGGTGATCTCTCTTTCTCTTTGTCTCGTACTCTTTCCTTCTCTATCTCCGCAGAGGATCCCGCAATCGTCTTACCAGACTCTTATTCTGTTACAGGGTCTGGATAATGTCAGCTCGGCGACCCTAAGGCCCTTCAACTCCGACATGAACACACCCAGGATTGACAGCTACAGGTTCTCCATGGCGAACCTGGAAGGTAAGCGGCCATGTTCGACAAGGAATTTTATTTTTCGAAATTTGCCTCGACCCTTCCATATTTAAAAGGGTCATTCCATGACTGACCATGATATGGGAAAAATAATCTCAAAATAGATTAGAAAAATTCTTCCCTTAACCATTTTTCGTTTTTTTTTTTTTTATATACGCTCGGTATAGAGAATCTTAAATCCTTTACATAATTTAATTCCTTTCTACAAGGGTTTATGTCAATTATTGCAAATAGTGATCTTTGAGATGATTTACGAATATGATATAAATATGTTAGTGTCGATCGCATGTTTCGTCGTCTTAATACCTCCTATGATATATTGCGGAGTACATATATTGGCCCGAGAGATATTGGATGAAAGCAGGAATATAGATGTATGTGCACGTATAGAAGGGAGAGGGAGCCATCGCTCTTTTTCCATGTCGGAAGTTGCCGCAATTTCCCCCAGCCGTTCTGAGAGCAGTTCGTCGCGCCTTTATTCGCCCGACTAAAATCCCCTAGACGTCCGTCCTGGTGAAATTTCCGTCAGTGGGGTCAGCCGAGCGGGGAGCTAACTTTTGACCGATCACCCAGGGATTACTCTATTTTTTGGATTTCTTATCGCTCCGGGACTTCCCCCCCGACTGTCAACATCCCCGAAAGACGACAAAGAATCGCCAGAAACCTAGAAAAATGAGATTTACGGAATTCACGAAGTAATTCATATCTAAAGATACTCTTCTCGTAGTTGCACACCTTTGATTCACTTCAAGAGCGAGAAGTTTATAAAATAAATTCATATCTAATTATTTACTTCACGTGGGGTACCAACCCTTACAGAAAATGATTCACTTTGGGGGGGAGGAAGTATTTCGCGAACGTGAAATATTAAAAATCACTTTTTAAAGGGACGTAATGCACTTACCAGAGCCCGAATGTGCTCTCGGACGCGTGTTTTTTTTCCTCTTCCGCAAAGTCGGCACGGAAATATCCCTCGGTTAACCCGAGAGTTGTATCGTCGCGTTCGTAAATTACACGCGCAAACGAGACACACCCCAGCGTGCGAGAATTCACGCTTGAATTTTCCCGCGTCACGCGTGACCGACGACCCGCTGTCCTAAAAATATTTCCAGGCCTTACGGGGATGTTTTACGGCCGACCCTCGTCACGGCGTTCCATTTGTTCACCGCCAGCGCTACAAAGCGCATCTCTCTCCACTCTTTGTCTCTTCCTCTCTCTCATCTATCACCTGATTTTCCCCCCCGAAGTCCATATTTTTCCGATCGATTTCGCGACTCCATCTTCCCCACCTGGCGGCCATTTCTTGTACTTCTTGTATATCCCGGCATTGCACAAAATGAGACGCAAAACTTGGAGAAATGGTGGAAGACAATTCTGTAAGGGTTGATTTATTAAAAAATGTATGTTTTCACCGACACCTTAAGATTTCCGTTGGGCCGACCCGGGGTTTGCCACTTTCCCCTGGGTCGCGTCGTGTCAGGGAAGCACGCGGTAGCCGCGGGGCCCTGCGATTGTGCACGTCGCTTTATCCGACGTCTTCCGATCTAAGAAAAATCCTGGCTTTCACGTCGTATCAGCGGATTTATACTTGTCGAGTCGAGCTGCATCTCGGGGCCTACACCGTTCATAATCTACCGTGGCCGTTGTGGTTTCATGAACTCTGCTTTGTACCTTGGACTTTCTCTCCTTCTTTTTTTCTAGCCGCTTCCCTCTCCCTTCTTCGCCCTGCTTCGATATCTTCTGCCCCTCTCTTTACCCGCGGCATGTTGGAATAATGTGTTAGATTGACTGTATCGGAGAGAAGATGCACGAGAGGGCCGTCTAAGTGGTCATTCATTGGTTTTTGTGATACATGAATTTCACTTCTGGTTTTTCATTTGAAAGAAAGAAATATTTAAGGTGTTATAAAAGAGTCATTCTATACATATCGAAGCGTCAATATATTTATAAAACTTTTTTTTCTTTAAAATGCTTGATTATCGAAGTTGATGGTAGAACAGGGTCCTTGTCTCTTGGCTTCCCAGGTGGACGGTAGGGCAGAGTTCTGTACTATCCACCGAGACGGAAACAACGTCGCAATTACTCCTTCGCGAAGTAGATGGCTCTGCGCGTTTCGCTTCTGACTTGTCAATGCCTTACCATTTTTTAGACCTTGAACATTCGGACAGAGACGAAAAGTATTCTTCAAGCGTAATTTCAAAATCAATTCGGTTTTAATTAAAGCCCTTTCACTCCGCAAAAAGACTAGGAAACCACGATTTTTCATCTCTATTTTTACACTCTTAATCTTCTTGCCGGAAACACGACGAGGATAAAAATGGCTTTTCCCCAGTTTGCCGCTGTTACTTTGGGTCTTTCCGCCCAGTAAAACTCCGTGCTCGGGAAAGATCTGGAATTGCAATTCCTCGGCAGCCTAGTTTACATTTTACCTCGTAAACGGTTGAACAAGGAATTCTGCACGATTGCCTCAGAGTTTCCCAAGTGGCGGAATAAACTCGGAAGGAAAGATAATTGGTATTTCCTTTCAGGGATTTTTTTGCGCAATTAAGATCCGACCGATGAAAAAGGTTTGGAAAAAAGTGGGGAATAAATGGCGTACATGACAGGGACAAGTGGAAGGTTCCGTAGTAAATCCTGAACCCGTGAACTTGGTTTCATCCTTGACGGTCCACTTGGGTTAGGAACGGTGTCAAGATTCCTCTCGTGGTTTATGCATCCTCGCCGCGAGAACTTAATCGATCTTCTTTCGGCTGGCATTAAAATACCTCGTACTCTAACCGGGAACTTCACGTCGTTACTTTCCTAGAGAGTCGAGTGCGACCGCCGAGGAGCGCTCCCTAGATAAGACCCGTGAATTCAGTCGCTTATTACGAGTTATTAGCGGCCACAAAGAGGCTCTTCTCTCCAGCCGTGAACTGGCTCCCCGGCGCGGCGCGTTTGAAAAGCTCGCACAAAGCTCGCGCTAACTCTCGAGTGCTTCCGCAAAGAACCGCCTCCTCGTAAGAACGTTAAACACTAGACCAACGAGCGGGAAATTCAAATATTACGAAGCACCCCGCTAATTAGCCGAGGACTACGAGAGGAAGAAATAACGCGATCACGCGAAGCGTGCAGCTTTTATATCGCGCTCCGAGTGGCACTTCATGTTTCAACAAAAGGCAAAACGGAAAAGAGGAAGTCCGCGAGTCCTGAACAGAAGTTGCGTGCATTCCTCGGTTTGGACTAGATTAAATCAAGATAAAAGCTCGCGTTGAATAAAAACTCAATAGAAATATTAATCACCACCGCTTTGTTGGGTGAAACTCGATAGATCGGGAACTTCTAAGTGGAAAGCGAGTTCAACGAGAAATCGCCATCACGGGGGAATCTAGTCCCTAACCTCTCCCGGCCCGAGGAAAAATCCCTAGCAGGTTCTCCGCTTTATCTCCGAGGGGCGACACACGATACTCCGGCGAGTTCGTAAAGAAGTCCCGCCCGTGGAAGAGTTTCGTTACGATCGCACCTTCGGGTCGGTTAATCGGAGCCGGGATATTTCGCAGGGGAACAACGCGAGGCATTTGCTCGTAACGCGGCGTCGCGCATTGGCCGCTAGGGGCTTTATGATTTCAATAACGCCGCGCGAAACTACCGGCGCGATCTTTATGCCGCGGTTGCCATGGAAACGCGACGCTCACCGGGCGGCCCGGACTGCGCGGGCGCGGACGCGAGCGGGTGGCCGGTGCTCATGCGCGCGGCCGCACGTGGGCGCATTCGCGTCCTGGCGAGCGGCGGCGCATGTGGGCCGCCTCGGGGCTCCACCAGACCCTGTGGGAACACCGGCTCGATAACGCGATAAGACCCTGCTCCACTTGGCGCTCGGTCGGTCTCGTTGGGTCCGCCGAGTCCCACCGGGTCCCACGGGTGAATGCAAACGAGTCGCTCTCTTGCGCGTGCGCCTCGTCATCGTCCCTCTCGGACCCTGGGAAGACCGAGTTCGCAGTTTTCTGGAGATAGAGTCGGGTGCCTATCTCGAGTACACTTTACACTTCCGGGAGAATCTGCTATACGGATTGCGACCTAATCTCCTTTCCACTTTCGGCCTCTACGCGCGGAGAAATGGTTGAACCAACAAACGGTTCAATCGAGGTACACGATTATTATATGAACAGCTAAATGTTTGTCAGTATCTTTTGTTTGTTCGAATCAAGTACTGCGATTAATTTCACCAAGCGTCTAAGTATTTTGGGCACATTTAACGAAAATATTTGGTTTAATAATTAAAGTATTTTCTGAAATTAACCAAATGCAGTTAAACCACTTCGTTCGGTGAACAAGAGTTTCTTTAATGCGAGAAGTCAGTCATGGTTGTTCGATTGAGTACGGGGATTCTTTCATTCAAGGACGTAAAATCACGGTTTTCTTATTTTAATTATTTTATACCTTTAAATGTTTTATGTAAATCCGCAAAGTTTTACATGGAGTACTTTTTATATCGTTAAGTGTTGAGATGAAATCAACGTTTCCCTGTGACAGAGAAATCCGAAACAGGTACAGAGATTATCGGAGTTACTGCAGATGGAATGGTTAAATAAAAAAAGAAAAAAAATGAAAAAGAGAGAGGGTAGAAACGTAATATTTCATGCAATGTCGGACAGAGGGACGGGAGAGGCCGAAGTCAGTAGTAATGTTGGTGGATGGATATGGAAATACGGCGGTACGCGCGAGTTGACTGATTTACCGTCGAACAGAGACAACCGTACGAGTGCGCGAGTATAAATTGTCACGTCGCACAGTTGCCTACACGAAGACAATTTTATAGAGAAAAACTCTCGGTGAAGAGTGAAAGCGAGGAAAATTTGACCTTTGCGGAGCCTCGTCAAGGCGAATCGAGATATAAAAGCGTTTTCACGCCTCCGCGGGAATCACAAAGACATTTGGAAGGTTCAGCCACGGGGCCCAAAGGCGCGATTCGTCGCGACGATTTTATTCCCCTTTAAAGAAGCATTCCA